ATTTTTTTTTGTTCTGTGTGCTTATTTTGGTTAAAATCATGGTTCCCCTGTCTCCGTCGTTACAGCTACTTCACCTACACCCCGGGATACCTGGCCCATGTGATTCATCGAGACATGCAATTCCTTGTGTACCAGTACCTGGAGAACAAGTAGACCCCCGCTTCCTCACTTTCTCTCAACCCACCACGGATTCGCGAATTCTCGACATGAATTCACCCCCCTTGTATCTTTCTATTACAAATTAACAAATAAAAAACCAGACAACAGGCATTGTTGTCAGATGGATAACAGGCTAAAAGGAAGGTGATGCTGTGAAACGGTTGTAAGAAAATTGTTTGACTGGGAGAGACTCTGATTTGGAGCGAGAATTCCCCCTTTCTTACTTCCCAAGTGATCGATAAAATAGATTTTTAAAATCAATTTCAAGCGCGATTTCACGATAAAAGCGTTCCACAATTTTGAATATTAAATAGTTGTCTGATTTAGTAATTTACTTGATGAAAGTTACACAAAAAGAAGATGTTCTTGGGAGCCAATCCATCAAACGTCGACGTAAACGAAAGCCTCAAAATCACAGCGAAGAAATTCTTTTTATTTTAATGTTAACCCTTTTCAGTCATTTTTACCTGAAGATGAACCGGGGTGATTTCCTTTTTGACTACAAATAACAGTGTACTGAATCAGATTTTGTAGACGTTAGATGGTAAATCAACTGTGCAAACATGAACTGTAATGAAATTTACCAAACATAAGCAGTTAAATCAAAGATGAGGCTATCTGATTAGGTGAATAAACGACCGAAACAGATACCTCTCCTACGAAAAATACGTCCCCAATTTCCAACTTTCTCTTCTAGAGGTGATAAACCGGGAAAATTGGACAACCAAATACACTGCTTGTTACATCATCACACTTATTCCACACTATTACCTGTCTTCTCTGCCAGAAATTATTTGCAGGGAGTGATTTGTTTTAACGCCGCTAAAAAGGCGGGTTTTCCAACGTAACGTGAAAGGACGGTGGAGCCAAACACGCTTTTTGAAATGACTGGTCAGGCAGTTAACGCGCACTCTCGATATTCCAAGCTCTGAGTAGGCAGATACCGTCGAACTCTTTCGAAGGATGATGAGATGACTAAATGAACAAGACAGATGCCCACGTCCACTCTACCACCTCTCCTACAAAATCTACGTCCCCAATTTCCAACTCTCTCCTCTAGAGGCAATGAAATCGAGTAAATTGAGCAACAAAACACACCGCTTCCTTGGTCTTTGCACATAAACGACTCCACCACTCACTGACTGTGCCAAAACGCATTTGCCATGAATGCTTTCCTTGTTTTAATAAAACTGAGTGCGTTGATTTGACGACGTGTGTCATAATTGAGTGCGCTGACACACCGCCAACAAAGGCGGAGTCCAACCTGTTCTGGCTGATGACTGGTTGTGACTTATCAATTAAATTTAGTTAATGGTGCCCTCTCTACTGCAGTGATAGTGCTGTTGTTTAAAACAAAGCTGTTAGTGACAAGATTGTATCGTGAACGCTGCTCACTCATTCTTTCATTGGCGGCATTTCGAAAAGTATGAGTTGTTTGATTCATGGCGCGAATTTTGAGACACGTCGACAAATTCGTGGTCTGTGTGCAAATAACCTGCACTCAGCGCTAGCTTTTATATTCCAAGTCTGAAAAACCGTTTATTTTTGCCTTTAATTGCCAAACCTACATAAGTTTTCAGATGGTTAGATAATGAGGCAACTTGCATTTTAAACAGATCCATTCAAACATACCTAATTTAACTCCTTTCTGTCTAAGCAATGAGTTAGCCTGCGCCAAGAGCGCGATTTACAGATGCATCTATCAAGCCTGGCAAATCGTGTGCTCCAATTCATTTGAGTAGCATAGATGTCAGCAAAACCGATAAGTTGTGATACAAAATCAATCAATCGATCTATATTTGTTGACCCCAAAAGTTCAGATCTAAGCGGAACAGCATAGACCCTTATCGATTCTTGTAAAGCAGTACAATATCCACTCAGCGCTCTGTCCAATAGCCTTCGTAGGAGTTAATATCATCTTTATTCCGAGTTACTGAATGATTTGGCAAAATAATTATCAAAGGTGAATGATTTCTTTTCGTTTGGGTACAACGAAAAACCTTCAAAATTCTTACGAACTGTTGTCAGATATTTGCCCGAAGCTTGTGACTCCAAGCGTAAAAATCAGCAGCATGTTTGTTCTGTGACGCGTGTTTTGGTAACAAAAAAAAATCACAGACATTTTGAGTCAACTTAACTCCAAAAAAGGCGATTTTTATCAGTGAATACTTCTGCCTCGGTAGTCTGTCGTTGAAATGCATCACACAACTACCTGGTTGTGATGGGAGCAGGTCAGCCAGTGTTTAAATTAGCTATTTTAGTCTCTGATAATCTGCTAGTGACCTTGGGCAAGATAATTTGAAGTCGCGGTGGCTTTTGCACCACCAAATTGAAATGTCATTCTTAGTTGTTTTTTTTTCGCCGTGAGTACTTGGTTGCGCAAGCACAGTTTAAATTGCGCAGAATTCCGCTAGCTCATTAAAACGATGCCCTAGAGACGGTCACTTCCCACTGCCTTGGTTTATAGCTCATGTGGATTGTAAAGTGAGCCGCAAACGTGCATTTTAATGTGGGAATATGTGAAACCTAACACCCCGCACGATGTGTGTGTGAACTCAAGTGTGTCTTCATAATTCCAACAATGAAACAAAGCGGAAACAAGGAGACAATTGGTGCTGATTGTGTCTGCCTGTCTATCCCCAATAATGCAAGAGTTTTAAAAAATCAACCTAATTCGACCCTCATTTTGCGTAATTTCATTATTCATGTGCACTGCAAACATGTAAGCTGCACCGTTGTGGGTATTTACACGGAAGTAGGCGTAATTTTTGCTTTTCTAAACTCATGAACCGCCTGCTTTCAATGATAATGCAACAACAAGCATATCAACACCATGGCAACAGCCTTTTATCGTCGTTGTTGTAAAATTGTTAAACCAGCAACAATTTGCCATACTGTGAAGTGGATTAATAATCGATCCATTGTTCGGTTTGATCGATTTGACCGATATCGATAAACAAAGGCGCTTTAGTATTGGTTAATTTTGTGACCAAACACCACAATTCGCCAAAAGGGAATGTGATTGCAGTGTTGAAGCAATGGCGGTCACAGGCGGAAATTTGCGTGGGGAGGTACCTTCAGATTTAGTCATCATTGAGAAATGTCGTTTCCTGTGAAAATACCAACCTCTCACAAATGCATTAACACGTGATGCCATGGTAAATCCTGTGAGCTGAACAAATAAAACCGAAAATTTAACAAGTAAAGCTTCGAAAAAACGAAAAAGTTGTGTCTAGCAAACACACGTTCAACAGGTTGTTAACATAGACTAATTTTAATGCCTACAACCCTGGCTTCTTGAAAGAAACAGGTCGAATTAGTGAAATACGCATTTATCTAAAGATTTCTCGCTGCGGCACTAACGGATTTCCGCGCAATTTTACAACTAAAAAACGACTTCTTAACCATCCCAATTTTTTTAAAGGGTTTTAAGTTTTCTGACAAACGTTGCTAGAAAAAAAGACTTTCGAATGAGACTTGAAATTTCACTTTTGTTTATTCAAAGACAACAGCTGATTATTAGGAGGCAGTGTTGACGGGGGGGTGGGGGGGTGGTTGGGATGTACAGTCCTAAGTGGCCCAACGCGGAGACTTGTAGAGGTAAATTCTGACATCATCTAGACGGCACTGCATCCAGTGTTCCAGAGTCGCACACCTACAAAGCACAACAAGATGTCAAACAGTTTGTGTGAAAGAACAGAGGTCTAGCTGTGAGGCAAGCGACCTACCCGTAGAATTTTCGTCCCACAATGCAGTGATGCGGACCGCCGTACAGAAGGTCGGCCGATTCCTTGATGTGCTTCGCGATTTTGAGGTGGTCCTTGTAGATGCACAGGGCCTCAATGACGATGTCCTTGATGCCCTGTGGAAACTCGTTCAGATTCCAGTCGATCCGATCTTTCATAGTCATCTTGGTAGATGCGTGCGATGTGTGCTGGGGTTAACTGAGCGCCTACGATGTCTATTTGAGTCAAACTGAGCGTGCTCACCCACAGTCGACCTGATTGGTGCACGCCATGTGCGTGTGTGGTTGCGCGCGCAGGGAGTTGATGTCACCTGCCAAATTAGTTTCGCTTTAAGATAATGGCTTTTAAACGGCACTGAATGATGACGTGACGTCAGGAGTGCCCTAAGGTACCAAAGCCTAACCACTGCCTATTTTTTGGAGCATAAAAATGAGTAATCGAATGAAGCGTTTTAATTTACTGCGAGTAGAAATTACTCGTTTCCCGCGTTAATTTGTCATGTCAGTCAACTTTAAACAAAGCGCAAAAACTAGCCTTTTCTGACGTGTTTTGATTGCTACTTTTCCGTAGGTTCAAAAAATGTTTAATTTCACCATCAGACATGTGACGTTTATGGCGGAATTTTAGAGACCAGAATTCCCTCCTGGAGATTGTTCTCGCACCGACAACCAATAGTTCAAAGGTATTGACGATACAGATCATGGTCGAAACGAGCCAAACATTAATCGATATTTGCGATGCGCCTCCCGTAGAAATGATTCAGCACTGATCGCGCGCAATCAGGTCAGTCTAGGGCAAGTATCGTCATCATCTTTCATAAAAATTGTGGAAGTTGAGAGGTGCTTGGTTGGAATGTGATATCGCGAGAGTCAGAGTAGCAAACTTGCAGTCCCTGTTGGCCATATCGATTTTCTGGGGACCAATGACCCAACTTGACAAGATCACAGATTACTTTGATATCACTAGTCAGAATGTTTCGCTAAACCTGCGTCCCTCTGATCGCCGTAAAAGTACCAGTCGAGACAATCCACCGACGCATTCAAGCGCCATCTCGTAACAAGTGGTTGCAACGATTCTGAACTGGGCATGTACATCTCCACGAAACGGTCGGCTGTGTTGTCGTCAGCTTGTGGATTCTGTTGTTGTGTTGCTCTTACGCTTCACAGAGCCGTTCACGACGGTGCAGGTTTCATTCAAATCGCGATACTGAAAGAAGGATATATTTCCTCTTCCACCTCATTCTGCCAGCGAATTTCGTGTTGGTTTATGCTCTAGCGACTAGCTGTTGGAAGATGGTGAGGTGGATTTTTCGCTGGTAAAAACATTTTAGCAGTAGGAAGTAGGAACCACGGCATGCAAGTACTACTAATTTGTTTTGAAAAACAAAAAAATTACGGGGGCTGTTGATTCAAAATACTACGAGCAGAGGAGTCTCTTTTACACTGCCAAGAACCTACAGGAGTGACAGGCGATGTAAAATCGGTGGGCACCTAAAAGTGAATGAATTAAAATGTCCGCGGCAACTCACTTAAACAGGAGAAAAATTCAAGGATTATTCACTCAAGGTCGAGGTGTGCACAACTCCTTTCTAGTGCACATTCCTAGTGGGGTGAACCAATCATGTTTTTGTCTCATTCCTCAGGAATAACCAATCAAAACCGGCAGGGGAATCAAGGTGACCAGGAAGCAAAATATCCGTTTCGGATAGAACAGAGGAGAAAGCAATTGGTCGGTCAGGCAGATGCGTGTTTACGTTGCACACCATGGAGTTTACGACGTGATAATCTTACCCCGGGAAAACTTACTTCGATATTGCCTCGATCAAGGCGTTATAGCTTGAACTCACGCACACAAACCACAGAAACCACATTTGA